CACTAAATATGGCTTGTTCGAGTTCACCAAGATGGGCTTTGGTCTGTGTAATGCCCCAGCCACCTTTGATCGTGTCATCAATTTAGTTCTAGCTGGGCTGAATTGGAAAATTGTCTTGGCTTTCCTGGATGACACACTGGTTCTGGGAAAACAATTGACTGCCACTTTGACAACTTCCGAGAAGTTTTTTTGAGGTTCAGGAACTATCAACTCAAGTTGAAGACGAAGAAATGTGAACTTTTTCAAGTGAGTGTCGAGTTCCTGGGACGAAAAATTGGTCCAGATGGCCTTGAAGCAGGAATTGATGTCAGCGCAGTGGAGCAGTGGCCAATACCAAACTCTTGCAAGAACGTTGAACAGTTCCTAGAACTGGCAAACTGTCATCGTCAGTTTATTCCAAAGTATGCTGACTTGGCTTTGCCATTGTACCAGGTGACGGGTAGGAAAACTTTCCTCTGGACTGATGAACGAGACCAGGCATTCCAAGCAATAAAGGATGCCCTGCTGTCCACTCCAGTTTTGGGAATTGCAAACATGGATGATCCGTTCATTTTAGACACTGATGCATCTGACTGTGCTCTCGGTGCAGAATTGACTCTCAAGTCCAGAATGGTGTTGAAAAGGTCATCGCTTATGGAAGCCTGTCTCTGTCAAAAGAACAACTCAAGTACTGTACTACGAGAAAGGAGCTGCTAGCTGTTGTGAAGTTCACCAGGGCCTATCGACATTACCTAATTGGCCGACCGTTTACGCTCAGAACGGACCACAGCAGTTTGCAGTGGCTCATGAATTTTAAACAACCTAACGGCCAGCTTGCAAGATGGCTTGAGGAATTGAGCCAGTATTCCATGAAAGTTGTCCATCGGCCAGGTTCCAAGCACTGTAATGCTGACTCCCTATCCCGCCGTCCACCTCTGACAGCCTGCCCAAACGTAGACACTGATGTCCTTCCATCTCAGCTCTCTTGCCATGGCTGCAAGTACTGTATGAAGGCTCACCAGAACTGGTATGAATTTCGCCAGTCTGTTGATGATGTGCTGCCTTTCTCCAAGGGTCCCAAGTCCCTCGAAGATCCCACTCACCAAGCACTCTTTTTGACCACTCAATCACCCTCCACTGGAGGCGAAACTCAATCCAAAAGAGAATCGCTATCTCCAGCTGGGAATGACAAGCCTCTCTGTGTAGACCAATCAAGTTTGAGGTGCGACCCGACAGACACCCAATCAGTGAGGAACAAAATATTCTGGAGATGCCACTTCCACCGACAGGGGTCAGCCTCAGCCTACGGAAGGGCTCTCGTGTGAGGAGTTGCACTGTTGGTGCCGGAAACCCGACGATGGGAAGTTGGTGATTCAGTGTGAAACCTGTTTTGTCTGGTTTCATGGAGATTGTGTCAATATTACACCGTCGGCAGCTGAAGCTATCGACCGGTACATGTGCAGAGCGTGTGAAGCCAAGACCTCATGGCTTCGCTTTCCATGTCCCTCGTCCCTACAATAACTGTATTTCCAGACTTTATGTTTTGCCCTGTAAGTTTAGGATTATCTTTGAACAGGAAATGTTGAGTTTGAATATCTTGATTTGAAAATTGTTTGATCAATGTTGTATGTATATCCAAAGTTTAAAATTGTGCTTTTTGCACAGTATGACTCATCCAGGAGATGTCGTCGGTTTGGATATAAATGCCCCTAGTAACAAACTTGGAAAACTCACAAATATATAATGACAGTTTCTTAAACAACTTTTTAATTTTTGTGACAAAAATTATGCAATTTTTTTCTAAAGTTAGTCTGGTGCTTTATTTCAGTCCGCGTTGGTTTGATTATTTTATGTCTATTTGTTTTTGTGTTAGATTACAATTCATCGGTATCATTTTGTCTCAAACGGACACCATGTGTCCGCGAAAAGGTGAGCGCATCCTGCCTCACTGTTGGTACACCTCATGTTCAATTGCTCTCCCAAAAAAATAAATGTAAGCAATGTAACACTTTTTGTCACAATTACTACTACTAAAGACTTCGAGTCACGCGTTGGGAATAGCCTTGTGGTTAAAGCGTTCGCTCGTCAAGCCCCACCGGTTCCGTGGTGTAGTGGTTAGAGTGTCCACCCGGAGAGCGGAAGGTCGCGGGTTCGACCCCTGACCGCGTCATACCAAAAGACGTTACAATATGGTACTTGTTGGTCCCTGCCTGGTGCTCGGCATTCATGGGTACATCAAGGACTGGTCGGCTCGGAGTCAGTATAATGTGTCTGAGTGGGGTATCCATGCTTCACTGCGGCATGGTATCTCATTGAGCTAGCACTATAAAACCAGCTTAAAGTACTGTGGGAAATGCTAGAAAAATGCTTTTTGACTTATATTTAAAATTCAGAGGTATTACAGTTACTTAAATAACAAATATCACTTTAAGAAACATCTACCTAATGTAGACCGTGGGAATAAATTTTGAGACATGCCCTAAAATGCGTTTTTACTGATGAAAATATCAAAAACTTAGATAAATAAGGGGTAGTGTGACGTTATTTGATACAAACATTAACTGCCTGTGTTACGTCATCAGCATGCACGGTATCGACAGGTAAAATTGACACCTGAGCACGCGCTCGGGCGAGGGGTCATCTCAATAGATGTTTTCATCAAAATGTTGAATATGTGTACGTATAGTATACGTATTGGTTATGTAAGGGATCATTTGTGTATGTGTGTTTGTTGTGAAATAGACATAAGAATAACTGTACATTGGAAAGAATCCTATCAGTTGTGTTATCTTATTGATTGATTGTAGATGTGTGCAACGTTTTGATAAATGTTTTACATGTCAACAGTATATTTCATTGCAAAAATATGGATGTAATACGGTCAGTTTAATCTAGTTGTGAACATTGGCCAAAGATTTAACGAAGTCACTGGTGTAGCTTCTTTAGAATATATATATATATATATATATTATTCTCCTAAAGTTTGTAGACCGCCCGTCTAAGTTCCTACCTTGTCAAAGTTGTCAAGGATGGTTTTACGTCCCGGTTTTGCTTTTGAGACGGCCACTGTCGTGTCTGATTTGTTTACAATATTGTAAACTTATTGGTAAGACATACCAACAGCTCTACAAGTTCTGTATTAAACCATTTCTATACTAAAGAAAGGTTTACCTCTGTCTTTTTCAAGCACAAAAAACTTATAACCTTTGCAACAATTGACTGCAAATAGTTTGCCTTAGTGGACTCTGTGATAAGGATGTACATGCATGACGAAAAAAACGTATTTATCAAGACTTAACATTTATATTAATATTTCTTCAATAAAGAAACGAAAATTCAGTAAAGTAACACAAACATTCAACATTCATTTGTTAAGAAACACGTTAATTTATACGTTTACACCACCTGTATTATTAGCATAAATGTAAAGACTATTTCAGATTTCAATTGTTGAACTCTGAAAAAATCTTAAGTTGTTGTTTTGGTGCCAAATTCTCTCCTGTAAACTGCCCTTTAAATGCATGGGAATAAATAAAAAAAGATTAGGTACAATATAGGTGAGTTGATATATTGACAACATAATACATTTATCACGTTTCTAAAGATATTAAGGCTAAAAAGCATTTTTCTAGCATTACCGACAGTACTTTAGTACAAGCAGCCGCACATACACATACACACGCATGCACGTCGTCATATGAGCGAAATATTCTCAAGCACGACGTAAAACCAAATTTCACCTCACCTCACCTCGTCACGCCTAACACCCGGGGCGATTCCGCACATTGATACAATGTGTGAAGCCAATTTCTGGTGCTCCCCACCGTGATATAGCTGGAATATTGCTAAAAGCGGCGTAAAACTGAACTCAAGTGAGTGAGTGAGTTTAGTTTTACGCTGCACTCAGCAATATTCCAGCTATATGGCGGTGGTCTGTAATTAATCGAGTCTGGACCAGACAATCCAGTGATCAATAGCATGAGCATCGATCTGCGCAATTCGGATATGATGACATGTGTCAACCAAGTCAGCGAGTCTGACCACCCGATCCCGTTAGTCGCCTTTTACGACAAGCATGGGTTACTGAAGATCAATATTCTAACCCGGACCTTCACTCAAGTCATGACTCGAGTCCATTGTTCAACAATATCAAAATCACAATGAGATGTTGTGGTAGATTTCGTGAATCTGGTGGTAGATGTTAAAAACGAAGTATTTATTTCCTTTATCCATTGAAATACGGGTTCACTCTCAATTGTCAGAAACCTCATTTGTCAGACGATGCAATCATCTTAAGAGCAGTCACGTGTTACCAGTGTAACTGCCCTGTCTTGCCTATTACTATGTTTGTGAATTTTGTATTTTTGTGAATTTTGTATTTTTGTTAATTTTGTATTTTTGTGAATTTTGTTTATATTCATTTTGAGGCCGTTTTTGATACAAAAAGAATTTCCTTCGGGATAATTTAGTTATATCTTATCTTAATATTATGTTTGTGTTTAATAATTACGTGTGTTCTGTATCGGTTGCATGTGATGTTTATTTTAGCAAAACTCTAGAACCAAACTCAGTTCTTTTCAAGACATATATATATATAGCAAACTCCAGGAAAGGGTTAATATAAACTTCTTTAAATAGTTGAGCATGCATTGCATTATTTTCATTAAATACAATAATAGGTCATAACATTGTGTATGTAACACCTGGAATTTGTATTACAAACGTCATGTTGAATCTGGATTGGTATTTTATGTTCGCAGATGTGGTATTGAATATTACAGGGAAGAAAGCAAGTCGACACCGGTTTTGAATGCCTCGCCACCGGTTGAAATATTACGACAGCTGACATTTCCATACCCCTTTAAAAATGAACTTTTCATACAGTACATGCTTTCTAAAGATATGGGCGCGTTCATTTTGTAGGTTTTATCTTGAAAATTAGCAGCATTGCTGTAAAATTGATTTTTGCAGCATCGGCGATCGGAATGTGGTTAAAATAAGCCAATCAAATCCCTCTTCTGGGCACGTGATCGTCGCTATAAACAAACTAGGTAATGGCGGACCGATAACACGAGATTCTTACATTCGATCAGGTACAAGATTTATCGTTGACTTTATGAAAATGTATTTTGGTACCCTCGCGAGTAGTTGATTATTAGATTATCAAACTGTGTTCTTGCAAATAAAGCGCGTCAACAACGCAAGTCGTGATAAATTGATAACTTAGTCACTACAGGTGTTCGCAAACATTATTTCAAGTGTTCAGTAAGTTGACTCACTACTAGTAGTTTTTTTCTGTTCAGACATATGTCGCCTTTTGCATCATGCACGAATCGTTACATTGTTTGATTTGAGTGATAATGCTGTTGTGTACTGTTCTGAACAAAAAATAAAGTTTAGACTTTAGTAAACATTCCAGTTAAAATATTTATTTCGTCTATTGATCAGCATGTTTTACCGGAGCCATTTTTAATATGTTTTGACTTACACAGTGCCAGGCAGTGCAGAGGTGTCAAACATGGAGGAGGATGAGGCACCTGTATCTTCCCCGAGTCCAGGATCTGGGAAAAGGAAAAGTGTGGAATTCTTGGACAATAAGGAAGAAAGGGATACCGACATTGGAGCGGGTGGGAGCCCAGAAGTTGACAACAGGGCAGAAGATGGACCCGATAATGACTTTGCTACAGACAGTGAGAGCGAAGTGGATATCGGTGTCAAGCCAATTGAAGACACTTCCTCAGAAGGTATAGTAAACAATCAAACAATATTATAGATATTAACTAATAAAATAATGGTATTAAGAACTGCATATTGATTATTACATAAGGCCCATCCATAATAACTTCTGATAGATTAATATTATCAAAAAAAATAGAAATTCTGTGTGAGTGTTAATTTTTTCTCATTTGTTTATGTGGTGTGAGGGTCATGATGGAATCTCTGATGTCATAAGCATTGTGATGTCATACCTTTGTGATGTAGTGGTGGACACCAAAGCAGGTGTTGACTGTGATGTCATACCATTGTTAGTCACATGACCCTTATTGTGATGTCACTGACAGAGAAGATGACAGAATGGGGCTTATGTGTAGCAGATACAGGACCATAATGAGTAAAATTACTGAAGAATGAAATTTCAACAACAAATACAGTATCCACCATGGTTTTACTTTGGTAAGAAATTAAGACCCTAAAGTTTATCTTTAATGTGCTAAGTATTTTAATGTTTATGCCTATTTCCAAGTATATAGGGTTTAAGTAATGCAACGTTGAAGCAGGATTTATCATTTTTTAACAGTTGTAAAAACAAATATTTTGCCCAAATTTTAGTAGAGCTTGGTTGTGAAAACATGGCAACATACTATATGAAGTAGTTTGTCAACATAATTCATATCTTCCATCAACATGGGTTCATTAAGTTCTTACTGTAGTCGAGGAAAATGTTGAGTTTTTGTGAAATTGCATTAAAAAATAAGTATTTTCTGATGTACAATGCCTTTAATATGCAATGGATATCATACATTAATGGTAATTATCATTTTCACCAAAACCTTCTATGTAATTTGTACATAATTTCAAAATATTAAACCATAATGGCAATGACATTTTCATGTTATTTCAACATTTTAAGAATTAAAGAAAAACTTTGAAGTCAAGTAAACTTTGTGCACTGTTATCTTCCCAGGTGTCAGATTCAGAAGTAGGATATCTCTCATTCCCCCCAAACCCTTTGTTTGGAATAATATTTTCGGAGTATTTTTCACTTGTCCATGTGCTCCCCCAGATGTGAAATTAACCATAGCTAATCACAAATTCTGCTAAAACTCAAGAAATATTGGTTGGGGAGGATGTGTAAAAATGTGTTTCTTCAGTTATAAATTGTGTTTCTTCAGTTCACTTTTGTGTCACCTAAAACGAAAGGTTAATATGTAAGACAATGGGTATATATGCTAATAGGGTAAGGATGTTTCATGTTAGAAACATGTTCAATATGGGTCATGTTATCATCTGTACATTCTAAACGTGGTGATGGACAAGGTCAGCCTTAGTAAAATTAGTGATGAATTTTAACTCATAATCTTTGTTTTCAGCCTCTTCTGCTGCACTGGACATGCCCGGTCATGGCCGATCTCATCCAAAGATTGCACGTGGCTTCCGACCAGAAATATTTGATGATGACGGAATAGCACTAGCAGAAAGCAGAACATCGAAACGTTCCGTGACCTTCACCCCCAAACCACCAAGTGATATGTAGGTCGCTTACATCTAAATATGCCAATTGTCTGTGTTCTATTTTTTACTATTTTTCCTGTGATCAGCCTTTCCAATTTTTTTATTTTCATCATCCGTATTTGGTTATTATATGAAGTTATTGGTCCCAAATACAAGTACAGATATAACGGAATGCAGGCTGTATTTCCTTTTACTTATCTTCATGAGTGAGTATGGTTTTATGCCGCTTTTATCATCAGGCTCATCATCATCATCATCATCATCATCACCTTTCTAGGTTTGTGCTTGTGGGTTTTATCCCAGTGGTAAGCACTAAAACATCACTAGAACATCAGGCTGGCATTGTGATTAGCGTTCAAAGCATCATCAAAGCCAATCAACTCACTCACTCTACTACTACCTGTGAAGATCCTGGTTAGAATTGGTCTTCGGCAACTTATGCTTGTCGTATAAGATGGATAACAGGACCAGGTGGTCAGACTCGCTGATTTGGTTGACACGTCATCGTATCCCAATTGTGTAGATCAATGCTCATGCTGTTGATCACTGGATTGTCTGGTCTAGACTTGATTATTTGCAGACCGCCACCATATAGCTGGAATATTGCTGAGTGCGGCATTAAACAACAAACCAGTCAACCAACTAGTGGTGGTCCGATTAATTGAAATAATCGAAGATTGGTCGCAATGACTAAACGACCAAGCAATCGATCATGTTTTCTCATAATCGAACACAAACAATTCTGGAACACTTGTTTGCATTAACAATATTTTTCACAAGGTTGGTTTTGTCTGTTATTTTTCACAAACATTACAAGCTTGTTCCAAGTCAGGATTGAATTTATCTTAAAGACTCCAGGAAATTTATGTTCCTAACATACTAGTCATCCTTTAAAGATGTTAAATTTGCACATGCATTTTGTGGAATTTGCAAAAAGACTCATAAGAACTACATGTTTTTCTTTGTTTTTGTGCAGTAACAAACATAACCAGAAAAATTTGATAAAATGATGCTGACCAATTATTTTCGATGATTGATCGGTTGTAATGAACCAATCATCAATTATGAGATTTTATGCAATTCCCAACACTACAACCAACCAACACTCACTCTACTCTTCAGGTTAAGCTCCAGATCACCAGCTGTTAAGGAAACAGCAAAACGGCAGACTTACGATGGGCGTGAGATCACCGTGGTTACGCTGGAAACACAGACTGACTGGCAGTGGTTGAAAGACGCTGTAGATACCGGACTAGGCACACACATCACTACTGGTATTTCATTGTTCCCTGTGTTGATATTCTTAATAAATCTCTTCTGTTGAAATGGGAAAGATTGTATTATGCCCTGGGTGATGGTTACTTTCATTATGTTGACGTCATCATAATAATCATGAAAACCATAATGATAAATTCATATTGAATCACAAATTGCAGGGTGATGGTTGTTAATTGCATGTTTTTACCTCATCATAATCATCATGAAAATCATAATCAATGAGTCATATCGAATCAGAAATAGCTTGGTTTAAAATGAGCTCACACTATGTGTAGACATCTTGGTTAAGCCATCCATGTTTTCTACGTGTTTCTATTATTCAATCTCTACCACAAGAAGCTGGGCATGCTAAATGAAAATAAATGAACATAATCAATGGAATGTCGGTTCATTAATGTTTAATTTATTTTAGGAAATATTAATGTTTATATCATTTGGTAATAGTCTTAAAATTATAGTAATTCGTGATCCAGTTCAAGATGCTTTTTTTGATAATGTAAATGAAAAAAGATCAAACTGATTTGTATTTTATGAGATTTTTTGTATCACATAAATTTTCACAGCAACAGATAATAATGAGACAAGAAAACATTTTTAAGAGAAAAGTATGGACAGTCATAGCATAGTTCCCCAGCATCTTTGCTCTAAGAATCTAATCTGTACAAGAAATGGTCAGGTTATGCTTCTCACAGGCAGTGGAATGGATCTAGTGGTTTGACAGGGTGTTTTGGCCAGTGTATCCTAATGGCAGAATTGTTTCCATGGTAACCAACAATCACTCGTTTGTCTGGATCATACTGGAGAATTCTTTGGCTGATATAGCGGCAGCAGTATCGATAATTGGATCCAAGCCAGAAACGATGACATAGTCTTGGACTAATGAAATTTTACATGACTTTGGCAAACCCTCATTAAACTGCTATAGGCAAACTGCAGAGGTCTGGTTATTGTTTTCGACTATTGAAATTAATTGTTAATAGGCATGTGTAACACAAATTATAGATGCCTTGCACAAGAAGTTTTGAACACACCAAATATTGAAGGTTACGGAAAAGGAACTTTCTTGGTTGAAAAATTGTGAAAAATGCAGTCACTTTAATATTCGAAGCTAATTCCGATACCATGGTAACCTCCAGTTAAGCTGTAAAAACTTTGAAGTCAATGAAGCACCAGAGAAGTTCATGAATATAAAGTATTTGGACCAAAATGGTTTCTATTTTATTTGCAGTTTATTTCAAGAAGACTCTTGAGAAGATTTGTTTTCATAATTCATTAGTATATATATATGTATTAACAGCTTTAGCAATTTCTAATCCAAGTTTGTTGCTCTGATATATGCTGGAATGGTCTCTGCTCTGAATCTATATGCACTGTATTGGAAGCTTGCATGAGCTAAATGTGCCATATTGTAACTGCATGATGAGTGTGACTGACAGGTGTTGTGTATTGCATGTGTATTTCAGGTGCAGTCGGTGGCAGTGAGACAAAGAAAGAGAAAAGTGACCTCAAATCTATACTGGGTAAATCTTGAATCGTTAAGGGGAGATAATCACAGTGTCAGGGGAGATAATCACTGTGTCAAGGGAGATAATTAAACTGGGAAAGATTAGTTGACATGACATATAGGGGGGGTTTAATTAATTAGATCACTGATGACAGAGGAATTCTCTGTCAAGGGAGGTAACCACACAGTCAAGGAATTATTGTGACTCGCGAAGGGGAGATTGTCTACTGAAAGATTATTGATGACTTGTTATCGGCACACATGTCAGTTTTAGAAATCCACACAAGTTAAAGGCACACTATCACGCTACACTTCTCTAAATATCAACATAGCATTTCTCTCATTAATACTAACTATCAGCCCCCAGTGAAGCTGCCATATAATTTATTTTAGAAAAAAATATGTATTTAGATTACAATATGAAATTAAAAAGTGTGAATGAATTAGTGCATCATTGCATTAAAATGACTTTTCCGCCCTCATCTGACCGAACTTTATTTCAAGTGAACCCCGTAGAGTTATGTCCCTTGGAACGCTCTTTACAAATATCCTGTAAGGCCACTTGTGATTGAGACCCGTTCGGCAAACACCGACAACACCGCATGAGACAGTTTTTGATGTACGGAGCAATTGTTTACATTCCTTATATGACAAGTGTTATCTGTTTGGGAGCTGTCTGCCTCAAAGTTTCAAGTCTTTTATTGCATCAATATGAAGCTAAAGTGAGTGCATATTCCCCAAAATATATATTATAGACCAAGTATTGTCGAAAAAGCGTGACATTGTGCCTTTTGAGATAACTAATAGCTGAACATTATGAGAAGGGGGTGTACATATTTAAACCATCCAGACCAAGACTATAAATACAGTCAAATCCCGATGAGTCGAATCGCTGGGGACCAAGTAATAAATTCGACTTATCGATGTATTCGAGACATAGGTATGTCTATGAGGGTAGAAAAAAAGATGATCCAGTCCTAATTCCTCCTCCTAAGCATTTGTTTATCTAATGATTTCCATATCGCTAATAGGGGCACCTTATCAGTTCCAGTCTGATTAGCACAGACAGTGATTTTTGTAAAATCACTAATCTGCCTTTTGAACTCACCCGTCAATGGCGGAAAGGTGTGAGCCGCGCTGGTTTGTTAATTGGATCAGTTTGCTACACCAATCAACTTCTCTTTGACTGACTTCGGCTTATGTATACAAGATTGCTGTTGTTTGAATCTCATGGGACCAAATTTTCTTCTCGAGTCATCGTGTGTATTTATGAGACGAATTCGTGTAACCGGTATTAAAATGATGACAACTATAACAGAGAATGGTCTGGACCGACAGGTACTTCGAGTTATGCATAATATTGGGGACACCGGCATTCGACTCATCGGGATTTGACTGTACTTAATATGAATTATAGCAAGTTAGTAAATACTGAAGGAGTCAGAACTGACGGGTGCTCAGGATGACTGTGTGTACATAGATCGGTGTACATGGGATTAGGGTACAGTGGTTTAGTGTACAGGAGAGTTTCTTCACAGTTGGAAACTGTTTCTGCATTCAAAACTTGATCGCTTTGCACAAGTTCTATAATTAGAATTTCACAAATTGGTTTGTTATGGCTTTCAAACTCATTAACACAAAAATAAGAAATGTTATTTACTAAAATATTGGTCGTGTAAGGTGAATGTAAAATGTTTTTATCTCTTCAGATCGTTAGAAATGTAAATTTTGTCAAAAGTGTATATTAATGAATTTAAATATGTTAATTTTGTGATATTGATAGTGTTATACGAAACTCTAGATTCCTTATTTCTCTTTTTTTTTGGCTGTCAATCTATAGGAAGGAGACTTATTTTGAATTGATTTTCTACCAAATCTGCTAAGAACTTAATACAGTGGGTTAGCATTCAGGAGTCAGTACACATGGGTTAATACATATGGAGTTAGTTCATTACCTTGAGCCATGCCTCACTCATATATCTGGGGCAGAGGAGTAGCCTAGTGGTTAAAGCGTTCACTCATCACACCAAGGCCTGGGTTCGATTCCCCACATGGATACAATACGTGAAGCCCATTTCTGGTGTTCCCCGCTGTGATATTGCTGGAATGTTGCTAAAAGCGGCGTAAAGCCCAACTCACTCACTCATCCATATGCATGCAGCTACTACTAACAAAGATCCCACAGTTAGATTATACAGTTATGCTGGTACAACTCCAACATACACCAGATGATACAAAAGTGGGATTTTCCGAAATGCTGAATTCCACCAATTTCACAACCAGGCAAACTTTTGTGAACACTAAAATTGCAATTTATGCACACTTACACCCAATTATTACATGATTACATGACATATCTTAAGTATAGTGTGTTACATCATTTCCAGTTGGTGCATTTCACCCCCATGTTATATAAAACATATTGCCCCAAAGACCTAGTGTTGCTGTTATAGTTAATGTCAATTCTTATCCAAGGAAACCACCTCCGTGGGTTTGATCCCTGACTGCGTCATACCAAAAGACGTTAAAATGTGGTACTTGTTGGTCCCTGCCTGGCTCTCGGCATTAATGGGTACAACAAGGACTGGTCGGCTCAGAGTCAGTATAATGTGTCTGAGTGGGGTATTCATGCTTCACTGCGGCATGGTATCTCAGTGGGCTAGCACTATTAAACCAGCTTCAGTCTGGGCTAGTACAAGCAACCGCACATGCACATACACACGCATGCACGTCGTCATATGAGCGAAATATTCTCAAGCACGACGATAAACCCAATTTCACCTCACCTCTTATCCATGAAAATATTTAGCTTATATAAAGATAAATTATCCCTTGAAACAGCTAGATTAAGCTCCTTGGAGAAGTATTCTCATCTGTGAAGAAGCTTCATATGCTCAATGACATTAGTATGTTTACATAAACAAATACATGGATAAGACATGTCTATCAGTGTTTCCGTTATCCAGTATATACCGGACTTTGACCGGTACAAAGTTATGATGTCCAGTAATTTCAAAGGCTATTGGTCATTGTGTCCGGCAAATTCTAAAATAAATTTTCTAATTACCTTTGTCAATTTTATTTCTCCTTGAAAAAAGATTATGTTTTCGCAATGACATAAAGGTGTTGTCAAAATAAATATATCAGTTTTGGAAAACCCCAGGCTAAAAATAGCGGCATTGACGCATTGCGATACCCTCAACATTTCTGATTGGTTGTAATGGTGCAAGGTCAGATGCACAATGAAAAGCGTGATCATTTGACTGGTAAAATTTACAAATGACCGCTATTTGAAAAACTAGCGGGTCACAATGTCCAGCTGTAAAAAATGCCAGCGGAAACACTGTCTATATTTGTTTGAGTGGCATTTTAGAAGTTGCTGGTATAGAGATGACACAACTTTATGGATGATCAACTTCTTTATTTTAACAATAGCGACGTGTTGCTATAGGTTCTTATACCGTTTACAAGCATATGGGGGAATGATGGGGTACACCAGTTTACATACAAGATAAGATAAGAGATAACAATAACAAGGGTGGGGAAACAAAGTATCAAAGAAAGTTACATGATGAGCTACAATGACATGATGATGAGCTGAGGATACAAAATGAGATGAGTGGGATTACCATGAGAATTAGTGAATGTAAGTTAATTAGGCAGAAGCCAAGGTGGTGGGGGGAGTAATTAGTGAGAAGCCAGTGGTCAGGAATATGAGTATGACGGTTGATGGGAAGCCAGAGTGGGTTGAGTGGTTAATTATTTGTGGATTAGGTGGTTGTAAGCTGAGGGGATGTAATAGCCTTGATCTCTGTTAATAGAGGGGTTAAAACGGCGTATCTGTAATGCCTCGGCCAATTTCCGCTGAGTGTAATCATGTTTGTTGTTTGTAAGTGTCCCAGTTGATGTTGTGTTGAGGACATTTGGTGATGTGTTCCGAAATGGCTGATTTGGTGTCTGCTTTGTTTGTGGGTGTCTTATGTTCTTTGATGCGTATGTTGAGTGGTCTGGATGTTTCACCAATGTAGTTGCTGCCACAGTCGCAGCTGATGTTGTAGACCACACCTTTAGGCTGTTGTTGTTTTGAAGTGTGTTTCCTACCGTTTGCCTTAATGATAGTTTGGAGAGGTGTGACTGTGGAGAAGTATGTGTCTATGCCTGCTATCTGTCTAAGTATGTGACTGATGTGATGTGATGTGATGTTTTGCCGATGTAGGGTAGTGAGATGCGAATGGGAGCGGAGGCGGGCTTGCTAGTGGTGGGTTTGGGTGCTGGGTTGTGGGTGGAGTTAATGACACGGTCAACAAGTTTAGAGGGGTTGTTAAGTTGGGTGAAGACATGCCGGAGGTGTTTTAGTTCAGGTTGAGGGACCGCCTCCATGGTGTAGTGGTTAGAGCGTCCGCCCGGAGAGTGGAAGATCGCGGGTTAGATCCCCGGTCGCGTCATACCAAAAGACGTTAAAATATGGTACTTGTTGGTCCCTGCCTGGCGCTCGGTATTAATGGGTACAACAAGGACTGGTCGGCTCGGAGTCAGTATAATGTGTCTGAGTGGGGTATTCATGCTTCACTGCGGCATGGTATCTCAGTGTGCTAGCACTATAAAACCAGCTTAAGTCTGGGCTAGTACAAGCAGCTGCACATACACATACACATGCATGCAAGTCGTCATATGAGCGAAATATTCTCAAGCACGACGTAAAACCCAATTTCACCTCACCTCACCTCACCTCAGGTTGAGGGGTGACAGAGGATAGGTTGAGTGCTCGACGGGTAAGAGTGGAGATAATGCTGGTTTTAGTTCTGAGAGAGTGGTTAGAGTCAAAGTGGATGTACTGGTCAGTGTGCGTGGGTTTGCGGTAGGCAGTGGTTTGGATAGTGTTGTCAGTGGTGCGAGTGACTAGGACATCCAGGAAGGGGAGTTGTGAGTTGGTTTCAGTTTCGATGGTGAATTAGATACGAGGGTGCTGTTGGTTAAGGTGCTGGAGGAGGGCAGTGGTGTCATTATTTTGAGGGAGGATAAAAAAAGGTGTCATTAACCTTCCTGAACCAGCAGGTTGGTTTGATTAGTGAGGTGCTGAGAGCATGCTGTTCAAAGGAGGTCATATAGATTTCAGAGAGGATGGGAGAGAGAGGGGAACCCATGGGTAAACCATGGATTTGCTCATAGAGGTCATCACCCCGCGGGTAAAATAGGTGGAGGTGATGGAGTTAGAAATGAGCTGAATGATAGAGTCAGTGGAGAGGTAAGTGTCAAGAGGGTATCAAGGTTGTCAATGCGGTGGCGGAGGATGTGCAGGGTTCCATTAATGGGGACGCTGGTAAACAAATCCACAACATCATAACTTAAAATTTTGCCAGGGTCCGTAACAGTCTTAAGTTTATCACAAAATTCAGCAGAGCCTGAGATATATTATTCAGCAGTTTTGCCCAGAGGGGCTAACACTTTGGTGAGATGTTGGGCAGTGTTGTAGAACACTGTGTCCCGTGAACATAATAACTGTCTTGCTATTGGAGGGTTCTTATGTATCTTCACAGTAGCCCGCGCGTACGGGGCTTGTGGATGAGGGACAGACAGTTTCTGATGGAGTTGATGGCTGATCTCAAAGGTGTCACGTAGTTCTTTCAGGTGGGCCTTGTGTTGTCTCTGCAGCTTGAGTGTTGGGTCCTTGTTGATTTTTCGGTAGGTCGTGGTGTCATTAAGGATTTTGCTGACCATGTTGTCGAAGTCGGGAGTGTTGAGTACCACGGTTGCCTTGCCCTTGTCAGCAGGGACGATGGTGATGGTGTTGTCTGCGCAGGTCGGTGATGGCTTGTTTCTCCGCTTTGGTGATGTTAGGTTGCTGGGGTTTAGACTTCTGGGCCTAGATTTTCGAAGCTCTCTTAGCGCTAAGATAGTCGTAAGTGCCATTCATTAACATTAACTTACGACTATCTTAGCTCTAAGAGAACTTCGAAAATCTAGGCCCTGGAGGATATCAGTGATCTGGTGACGGAGGAAGTCAACTTTGCCTGCCGGTGCCAGTTCCTGAAGCCCCTTCTCGATGTTGATGATGAAGTCGTCATGGTTGCAGAGTGGTGTGGCCGGGACGAACTTCAGTCCTATGGACAGGATGTTAATCTGGTCCTGGGTGAGGGCTTTGTCGCTGAGGTTGACCACAGTCTTCTTCAGGTACTCACCTTTGTTGAGGCTCTTAGTGTTGCGGTCTGCTGGTTTGGGCTTGAGCAGTTCCAGTTTCTTCAGATGGGTTGTCTTGGTTCTGGAGTCAAGTAGGTTGTTAGACTTGGTTTGAGCAACTCGGAGGGACAAGGAGGTCCCGGGTTGCAGGGTGGAGCTGAGGGTGTCGATGTGGCCGTTGATGTTGTTGAGAGTGATGGCCTTCATCTTGCGGTGGTGTCTGATCCGCTCCTTCACAAGTAGTTTGGAGGCGGTCTGCAGGATGGATTTGGCTGCTGGTGAGTCGACTGGTGATGACAGTTTGAGGCCGTTTGGGATGATATTGAGGTCTCGGTATCTCATGAGGAAGGTGAGGTGATTGCTGGATTGGATGTACTTCTTCTCCAGGCAGCTGAGGGTATTGATGGTGCGGATTGCCCTGTCTCCATGTAGACGACGAATGATTTGTTTGAGTGGCATTTTAGAAGTTGCTGGTATAGAGATGACAATAACATTGTTATCGCATTATCTTATCTTGTATATAAACTGGTGTACCCCATCATTCCCCCTTATGCTTGAAAACAACGTTGCTATTGTTAAAATAAAGCCGTTGATCATCCATAAAGTTGTGTCATCACTGTCTATATTACAACCTTCTTTGACATACTATCATGTAGTACTGTAGTGACCACTTCCGGCCCACTGATACTCTGATATATCTGGAGGCCTACATTGCTCCACTGAGTGCTGTATATTTACTGATCAAAAAAAGGCAACACATATATGAACTCCTTTGAGACCAAATAACCCTGAATTCATGGATGATATTCAATCTGATCTCCACAGTGAAGCCGGACAGTCGGGAGACGACCAGCCTGTCGAAGGCGGACGCCACAGATTCTGTGTCGGCAGATGACCGCATGGCTCCGACCACGCCCTACACCCCGTACAGTGATGAATTCGGCATCCCCATCCTTGACATCAGCTCCGACTCTGAAGATGTAAGTAGCATCTGTAGACAGTACTAAGCAGATGAGGAGGACGGATAGTCTTGTCGTTAAAGCGTTTGCTTGTCACGCTGATGTCCTGGGTTCGATTACCTACATGAGCCCATTGCTGGTGTCCTCCGCTGTGATATTGCTGGAATATTGCCAAAAGTGGCATAAACTGTAGTCACTCAATTATTCACTGGGCAGATCACAGTTCTATGTTCTGTCATTTTCAGTCTGATTTTCAGGAAGTGTTTAAAAACATATGGAACTTTTTTTATAGAGAGTCACAACCTTGTGTCTTTTACCACCAACCTTTTTCAAGTTAAGTTTGTACAAAAGCTATGAGGCTTTTTGAGCAGTTTTTAACTTTTATGAACATAAGTTGATACATGAGCTCACAATGCTGTTGGGAACCAAGAAGGTTCGACTGCTGACTTTGTAGGAATTTGATTAAACTTTTAGATTGTTTCGCTTTTCCTGACTTCATCATGATATTTATAAAATCCCCGTAATACAAGAAACTCTCCATCAATGATGTGTGATGATCATGCCAGAGAGCAGGAAAATAATGTGCCATCTGTTAGATACCTACTACCTAGTTGAGAACGGCGCCAAATGAATTTTTTGGGGGTAAACACATCAAAGCTAAATGTGACATTCCATGTATTTATTTACAAGAAGCACCTTTGTATCCCCAAGTAGCTCCCTGATGGCGACAGGTACGGTAGCACCTCACTGCAGATGTAGCATGTTGGTGTATCACAGTCTGTTGTCATGATAACGATATTATGTGATGTTTCATAAGCTACTTTCCCGGGAACTGACTACAAGCTACGTCCAAATTAATTTTGGACTTTTGGTTTTGACATTTCAGATGATTACTAGTCCTGTTAGTTTTTCACTTGTCTCATACAAGTGGACCAGAAGTCATGTTTTTGTATGCTGAACAATTCCATGATATGTTCCACCATGGTGTCCAAAAATATTCATTTGTGTTGTTCAGTGTGTAAAGGGGACATTGTTCATCAAATAATCTTGTGATATGTAGAATGTATGTATTTGGAATGTTTTCATGTGGCATGTCATGCTGATGTCATGTTAGCATGTTGTATCCACTCTTGAGGTATTGTCATACACATGCAATGCAGGCCTATATGCTATAAACAGTATTTGGTGTAGTTTCATCTGATATGTCATGTGACATGTCATTTGGTATATCATGTGGTATGTCATGTGGTATATCATGTGGCATGTCATGTGATATGTCATGTTGTATGTCATGTGGTATGTCATGTGATTGTCATGTGGTATGTCATGTGGCATATCATGTTATTGTCATGTGGCATGTCACATGGCATGTCATGTGATTATCATGTGGTATGCCATGTAGTCTGTCGTATGGTATGTCATTTGGTATGTCAAGTGGCATGCCATTTGGCATGTCATGCTAATGTCATGTTAGGATGTTGTATCTACACTTCAAGTTCTGTCATTCACATGCAATACCTATTTGGTGTAGTGTCATGTGGTATGTCATGCCAATGTCATGTTAGGATGTTGTATCCACACTTCAGGTACTGTCATGCAATGCCTGTGTGGTGTAGTGTTTTGTAGTTCACGGTTTCACAGCATGCTACTTCATTGGGTCACTGTACAGCAAATGATATACAGAATATAAAAAAACAGGATTGAATGTGGATATGTGACTGCACATGTTCAACATGAATCGTGTTAACTATGAGAGACTTTTATGGATAGTTCCAGTCAAAATTGTATATGAACATTATTAGGATTGTGAAAAACATACTAAAAATTATCCATTTCCAAAATAATTTCAAACTTTATTTAAATTGATGAATCAAATGGAATAATAATAGGCTGTTCATTCAATGATAAAGTACAAGGCTACAGACCAACTGAAAATATGTGCTAGCTCACCATCATAATATTTTTCCGTAATATGCGAACCCATATGAGTTAACAGGCTTTATATATGTGAGATCAAAGTCTGTGATTACCTACTCCATGGTGATGCCTTAAGTTGCATGATGACTACTTTCCTAAATGTAATTTATTGATAAATTAGTTGTGTGTTGGTCTAACACCTAATGTGTGTGTAGAGTGTAAATATATCAGTTTTGTATTAATAATCCACAGTTATGACAGTTCTGTTTAGGGTCACAGTAGGTGTGAGTAGCAAGCTGTAGGCTGGATGATCTCACAGATGAATGAATGTTGTGTTATATGGTCATGTTCCACGGTAATCCTTTGAGTGACCTATGACCATCCAATCAAACGCAAGATGGCTGAACAGATTTAACCAATCAGACAACGACTACTTGTTAGGGTTCTGCGGGACTTACGAAACAGTTTTGGGGTTTTCTCTTCCCTGGTCGCTGACACTGATCTATCATCAAACAAAAATCCACATAAAACACAGATTATTGCCCTGCAGTATATACACTTACGGGTTTCTAATGACATGGTTACTATTTGCTTATATTTTCACAAGATGACATCCTTGAATATTGACAAAAACGCTGTTTTCATCGACTGTTTACTCATTGTGTGTATCCCTCGGAAGCGATCGTGCGGAAAATAGCATTTGGAATCTTTCGAGTTTTTGGGTTAAAGGTTCAAACGGTATGTGCGAATGTTAACTTTCGCGATTTGGTAAGCTGTGTTCTGATTGGTCGGTCCAAAAGGTTAGCTGACAAGACCTTCTATTACGTTTTGTTAGACTCAGTATAGCAGTGTTACGAATAATACTGAGCCTTAGTTAACTTAGACTGATAAAAGTCATAAAAAATAGATAGTATCTGGCAGGTGTGGTAATCTCTGAGGTATGGTTTAATGGCACGACATCAATAAGATGTTGAAATATCGGTAGTTATTCCTGATGTCATACTTCACCATCACTTTGGACCAAAATTGTATCTTTGTCTCCTTGCATGTTCTTTTTTTGTTTGTTGTTTGTTGAAATATTTCATGTTTTTCTCCACGAAGAGTTCAGATGAGGACTCCAGCAGGAAAGACGCGGATGATCGTAACTTTCTACCAAGTATCGGTCCCCCTCAAATCCTACAGGTAACTCTGGTGATGGCTCTGACTGTCTGTGACGTCCCCTCCTCTACCACCTTCTGTAGCTCCCTCTTCTTATAACAGCTCTTCATCAGATGAAACTTCAACCCAGAGCAACAGCCCATGCATCTTTACTGCTTTTGTGTATATTAGCATTTTGCCTGTGTTGTCTGTCATGCATGCACTGACTGTGATTGACGCTATTTTCTTGTTGTTTCCACTTTCACCTGAACACCTGCATTCTAGTGTTGGGAATTGGTTACAGTCCGTTTGAGACAAAATGATACTGATGAATTGCAATCTAACACAAAAACAAAATAGACATAAAATAATCAAACCAACGCAGACTGCAATAAAAACAACAGACCAACTCTAGAAAAAAATTGCATAATTTTTGTCACAAAAATAAAAAAGTTATTTAAGAAACTGTCATATAAAATTTACTTGTGTTTTTTCCGAGTTTGTTACAAGAGCGCATTAGCAACTAAAGGCACAGCCGAAGCGAAAAGCGAGATGCGTTAACAGGTTCTCAACAAAGATGACACGTACCCCAGCTGCACAGGCAGTGCGTTGTATGTACTTAGTAATTGCATACTTGGGTCACCCCCTGTCATTTTCATCCTTGAAGAAATCATAAACTTTATAAATTATAGACTTTCATTTTCTCTCACTTTGTCAATCAGCAGTAATCACATGTCTCCTGACGTCACAAATGCACGTGCATCTCGCTTTTCGTGCTGTTCCTCTAGTTGCCAAGGGGCCCTTGTAACAAACTTGGAAAACTCACAAATAAATTATGACAGTTGATTATTGGTTCATTACAATCAATCAGTCATCGAAAATAATTGGATAGTGTCATTTATGACATTTTCCTGGTTATTTTTGTTAATGCACAAAAAAATGAAGCAAAAATATGTAGTTCTTTGAGTTTTATTTGCAAATTGCATCTTTATAGGATGACTAGTATGCTAGGAACATATATTTCTCGGAGTCTGTAAGATAAATTCAATCTTTACTTGGAACAAGCTCATAGTGCTTATGAAATGCAAATGACACAGATAAACCAACCTTGTGAATTTTTTTGTCAATGCAAACAAGTGTTCCAGAATTGTTTGTGTTCGATTATGAGAAAACATGATCGATTGCTTGGTCATTTAGTCACTGCGACCAATCTTCGATTATTGCAATTAATCGGACCACCACTACTGCATTCCACTGACTTTTCCTCAGTCCTTACTTTGTTACCGTTCTTACTCTGTTTTGCTATTCTGCAAGCTCTCTCTGACTTCAGCTGGCTGAATTTGCTGCTAATACCTGTCTTATCACTACGAGTGCCATGTCTTGTAACTTTCGCACAATGTGTGTTCGCTAATAAGAAAATTCCAGAGATGATCTTGGTTAGAATTGGTTTTATGCAACCCATGCTTGTCGTAGGATTTTGTGCTTAGTTTTGTTAGTGGTTTAATGCCACACACAGCAATGTTCCAGCTGTATGGCGGTGGCCCATAAATTATTACTATCCAGTGATCAAGATTATGAGCATTGATCTACACAATTGGGATATGATGGCATGTATCCCATGTTGTCGTAAGAGGTGACCGTTGGGAGCTGGCGATGCTCACGTCAATATACGTCATCATGATCCTAGTTGCATGGTATGTCTGAGATGTCAGTCACTGGATTGTCTGGTCCAATTTTTATTTTTTACAGAACATCGTTTTGTGGGTAGCTTGAATATTGCTGAGAGCAGCTTCAACAAACTCACAAACAAATTTTGAGGATGAGGTGTAAAACATCATTGGAAATTATCAGTGTTCATGATGGTAACGACCGCCTCCGTGGTCTAGTGGTTAGAGCGTCACCTCACATCATGATGGTAACATGATTAGCTTCAGATACTCCAGGATCAATTCTTTGTTTGACACAGTAATATATTTCTACTGAGTGGATCTATAGACATTTGATCCCAACTGATTTGTAGAAGTAGGTACCACTGGACACTATGAATGATGGAATATTGCACTTGCACCAGACAATGATGCATCCTAAAGACTGCATCTCTCACTGGGGCATCCTAATACTTGCAGCTCTTGCTGCGGCATCTCCTGTCACTGACACATGCCCATACTTTACCCCCTGCTGCATCTCCTGTCACTGACACATGCCCATACTTTACCCACTGCTGCATCTCCTGTCACTGACACATGCCCATACTTTACCCCCTGCGGCATCTTCTCTCACTGACACATGCCCATACTTTACCCACTGCTGCATCTCCTGTCACTGACACATGCCCATACTTTACCCACTGCTGCATCTTCTCTCACTGACACATGCCCATACTTTACCCACTGCTGCATCTTCTCTCACTGACACATGCCCATACTTTACCCACTGCTGCATCTTCTCTCACTGACACATGCCCATACTTTACCCACTGCTGCATCTTCTCTCACTGACACATGCTCATACTTTACCCACTGCTGCATCTCCTGTCACTGACACATGCCCATACTTTACCCACTGCTGCATCTTCTCTCACTGACACATGCCCATACTTTACCCACTGCTGCATCTCCTGTCACTGACACATACCCATACTTTACCCACAGTACATCCGAGAGTCCGAGCTTGCTGATATTGAAGTGGAGGACCCCGAGAAGCGGCGGGAGAAGGAAGGGACCGACATCACAGACTACCCCGTGGACGAGTGTGGCCGCATGTACGGCATGTTCGGGGGCAAGTGTGAGTTCTGCAGGCAGGACATAAAACCATTCCCCTCGCTGGAACGCCAGCGACAACTGCCCCCGCATGAACTGTACTGCTGCGAGGAATATCGAGACTTTGTAAACTTCGCAACCACCACGGCCATGGATCTGGAGGAGGAGACAAAGCATGCTAACAAGCTGATCAACATCAAACCTCACGCTCACTTCGGCAACAAGAATGACAGAAAGGCAGCGAAAGAGAGAGCAGTGCAGAGGTATGCTGATCATCTTCACATAACTGCCACAGGCCGTTAATTTTCTCATTCGTTGCAAATTTCAATTAGAAAATATGATTTCATCTTTAATTCCTGTGAAGAATATGCCAATCTAGTAATGAAATATTCTCAAAGACTAACTGTTCATGGGCAGGATTAAGGCTGTAAATCTTATCATTTGTTAAAAATTTAAAATTGGAAAATATGATTTTGACCTTAAAGGCACAATGTCACACCACATTTCTCTGAAAATATATAATGCATTTCTCTCAATAATACTAACTATCAGCTTTCAGGGAACCTACCATATATTAAAAAAATTACATATTTAGGTTAAAATATTAAATCAAAAAGTTTTAATGAATTAATGCAATGGTACATTAAATCGACCCTTGCGCCCTCTACCGGCCGAACATTATTTCAAGCGAACCCCATAGAGTTATGTCCCTTAGAGCGCTTAGACTTTACAAATATCCTATGCACAACTTGTGATTGAAACCAGTTCAAAACCAATATTGTCAAAAAAATGTAACATTGTGCCTGTGAAGAATATGCAACTCTGTTCACAATAATATAATATTGTAATATTGTAATATTCACAAAGACCAACTTCAAAGACGTGAATAAACAGAGAGGGCCACGATTTAGACTTACAGTATCTACTACAAACATGTCCTGTTTTTGGACTGGTATGAAGTGCATTTATATTGTGTTGCGTTTGTCTGGTCAAGCTCATCAAGCTTTCTTCTATTGACCAGAAGATTGTAACAAATTGCTAATCCTTAGGAGCTGTGAATATATCAGGAGTAGGGCTTCTACACTGTTGACGGCTTTTAGCGAAATTGCCATAGGATGCCTTGACATGTAAGGAACCACAATATGCCGGAGTTTTTACCTCGAGCATTCCAGCGACCTATGATTGTGGATATTGCTGGAATATGGCTCATATAATAAGGCGGCGTAAAACCAAACTCAATCACTCCCTGACCCTGTCATATGATTCAAACTTAGTACTCAGAAGCCCGGTCAGGACATGTCAGACTTTCCAAAAGGTTTCATGTGTTACTAATGTTGACAGTTCCATTCTCATAGTCAGCAACGCTATCAGATACATCTTGTGTCTTCATTCACCATATTAACCCCTGACGATCCAGGTTAGAATTGGTCTTCAGCAACCCATGCCTGCAAGATACTAACGGGATCGGGTGGTCAGGCTCACTGACTTAATTGACATTTGTAATCCCAATTGCGTAAATCGATGCTCCTGCCATTGATCACTGAATGGTCTGGTCCAGATTCGATTATTTAGAGCCCTCCAAAATATAGCTGGAATGTTGCTGAATGGGGACTTTAAACAACCAAGCAACCATTCACCATATTAAGCAACCCCCCACCCCCACCCTCCAATTACCATCCTTGATCAACTTCTGGCCAGTTTGTAAGCTTATGTACCGCTACTAAGATTTATAATTACATGACCTTCTATAATTTATAATTCTAGGGTTTAGTGTATATCATTTTTGTATGATATAGATTGTTTACAAAAAAACAAAACAAAGGTTATATAATCTGTCAGTAGTGATTATCAAATATAATCCACAGAACTCCACACACATAATCTACATGTCTTTATATCTGTTTCTTTTCATGATTTACTTTTTCAGCAAAAAGAAATATTCATTTACTCCTCGGAGGTAATCATCAATTTCAGGATGATGTATTTTTCATTTTTTATTTCCTTCTGCCACTAGGAATATGTAGCTGCAATCTTACTGCCTGTGACGTAAGAAAATATCTTTTGTCACTTAATAACAAATGATGCGTTACTGCCACGGGTTGTTCAGCTGTATAGAATCCGTTGTGACATCTCCCAATGCTAAGTGACCTCATGTGGGTGTGAGATACGTCTTCCTGATGCAAAGTTGGTAGCTGATTTATTAAGTACAGTTTCCACCCTTGCGAACTTGGCTCGAATTTTAAGACTCGGTCATAGTGCCACTAGTGGTAGGACACAGTGACTTGTTTGCTTGCATGTCATTGTGACCCATTTACATAGGTGCATGCTCATGACATCAGTCTCTGGTTTGTCCTGTCTGTTCCATGCTCCTGTGATATAGCTGGAAGATAGCTGCATTTAAAAACAAACAAAAAGTACTGTTGCAATTTCCCCATGTACTAGTTGGTACGTATTGTCGCACCAGTGAAGATCCAGGTTAGAATTGATCTTCATCAACTCATGCTTGTCGTAAGAGGCGACTAACGGGATCGGGTGGTCAGACTCGCTGACTTGATTGACACATGTCATTGTTACCCAATTGCGTAGATCTATGCTCATGATGTTGATCACTGGATTGTCTGGTCGAGACTCGATTATTTACAGACCGCTGCCATATAGCTGGAATATTGCTGAGTTAACAGCAAACCAACCAACCAACAAATTGAGGCTTAATTTGCATCATTATTCACATAATTGCATCGGTACGTAGTGCTAAATTAGCTAGATAGATATATGTTATGATAGCATGGTACATTTTTCTATAAATATAGTTTTTATCAACTTAAATATAAAATACATTGATGTTTACCAAGATTTATTTTGCTTTTATTAATTCTGCTTGAATGAAATATGAAGTTCAGAACTGAATTCTATCAATGATTATATGAAACATCTGTCGGTATAAATGTTTACATTCCAGTTAGGGGCAGTGGGGTGCCTAGTGGTTAAGGCGTTCGCTTGTCACGCCGAAGGCCCGGGTTTCATTCCCCACATGGGTACAATGTGTGAAACCCATTTCTGGTGTCCCCCCGCCATGATACTGCTGGGATATTGCTAAAAGCAACGTACAATCACTCACACTTTCCGGTTATCTTGTTCATGTTTGAATTTTATGACTGCACAATAAATAAAATCAAACTTAAACAAGGAATGTAAAAACAATGTCCAAGGAAGAGCTATTTATTATAAGAATGGTTTAAAAGATGGAAGCAAATATATCAGGAACTATTTCCAATTTCTTTACCCAGATTTTGTCTTCCACATAAATGAACTAAAACTCAGGTCACGTTAGTGCACTACATGTTCGTATCTGCGTCATGTCGTGACATGTCTAATAATTCACAGTATATTAACCTTGATCATTTATATAGCTCTCTGTTATTAAAGATTGAAGCTGTGTTACTTATTTTTCCAGCAAAAGGAAATATACTGTAGAGCATGGGAGGTAATCAATGGTTATAGGATATTTATATATTTTTTCATATTGTTATTTTGTTTTATCGCTGCTTAGATGATCTAGTACAGTATTATATTCTTACTGTTGATGTCGCTTCATGGTTTTCTACCTGTGAAGATCCGAGTTTGAATTGGTGTTCAGGAACCCATGCTTGTCATAAGAGGCGACTAACGGGATCGGGTGGTCAGGCTCGCTGTCCTTGTTGACACATGTCATCGTATTCCATTTGCGTAGATCGATGCTCCTGCTGTTGATGACTGGATTGTCTGGTCCAGACTCGATTATTTACAGACCGTCGCCATATAGCTGGAATACTGCCGAATGCGGCTTTAAATCACAAACCAACCAACCAAATCGTGGGTTTCTATGGCGTAAAACATCATGCACTCATGGTATTCTAGAGTAGTGTTGTTCCAGGAAAATCTATGCTTGTAGTGATGGCTGACAATGATTATCAGAGGGTCAGGTTTGGTTGATTGTGTCTCATTGTACAACTGTGGTGAGGGATGCTCATGATATCAATCATTGGATTACCTAATCCAGATTTCAACACACACACAGCCATCATATTGCTGCACGAGATGATTTCAGATGCCACGTAATGTAGTTTTGTCCTCTGGACCAAGGATTCACATATTTTGTGTCAAGATACAGTACTGCTTTGTTTTACACTCGTCAATTCTCTTAGATCTGTAGCTTTTTTCAACAAAAAGGTCTGTAGCCTGTGAAATATGTAGATATAAATTTATGTATATTACACAGGTTTTTCAGTGATTATTAACTGAGAGAGACATATGCTATTTATAAACCTGGAAATTTTGTAAGAACTCTCTCTTAACATGCTCAAAAGTATTTATTGACATTGAGTAACCTCTAGTGTTTCCTAATATACATTTTGAAGTGAAGATAACTACTAAGGTTCTTGTAAATACTAAGGTTCTTGTTGATCATATGTAGTCACCAGTTCGAAATCTTTTTTGGTAAATTTGTATTATATTTATCCAAATATGTTACCATTGTTAAAGGTGGGCACCTTAGTAGTTAGGCCAGACTTCTTTTTTGTTTTTTCAGGTCAATAGGTTAGAAAAAACAAAGAAGAAAAACATTAAATTTTAACCAGTTATTTTGTATTGCTTTGATATGTTGAGTAGGTAAGGGGGAAAGAGTTACCTCCCTTAGTTTAAAGACCTAAATCTGTTGAACATTAATATTGTGTTTTGTAATTTTTTAAATAAAATTCCAACATATTTTAATTTGTAGTATTTGAAATGATTATTATTATTACTATCATTATTATTTTACATTTTTCTGGTTGAATAAAAATCCCATGGCTTTCCTTTTTCTTTTTTCTCATGTTTCAATTTCATGGGATTTGTGGCATTTTTGAAAGAAGTCTGGCCTTCATTATATCAGTATTTTTCTCAGCAGCACTATAGTAATATTAGCAGAGATACATGGCGGTTGCGCTAAAGGTCCTGGCCTGTTGTTGCCAGCTGTGTCATAGGGTAGCTCAGTAGCTATTGCATGCACAGTTTGCTTCATGTTATATTTTAGCTGACAGTTGTTTTGGAAGATCATGCAAGATTTAATATTTGATACTTTGTCAGAGTTTAGCTGTAAAACTATTTGCGATATATTTCAGAATGCGTGAGAGAGAACTCCAACGAAGACAGCAGGAGGCTAGCGGCTTGCAACAGAACTTCTACAGCTGTAAGTGTTTATTGAGAATAATGTACTGTGTTATACAGCTGTTACCTCCCCTGTTTCAGAACCGCTAGGTAGATATAGTCTAGCTCATCTTCAGAGGCACCAAGCTCTGATACAGCTGAAAGTGTCCACTGAGTACATATCTCTTGTACAGCTCTTACCTCGCCTGTAGTACAGCACCGCTATTAGATATAGTCTAGCTCATCTTCAGAGGCACCAAGCTATGATACAGCTGAAAGTGTCCACTGAGTACATGTCTCTTGTACAGCTCTTACCTCCCCTGTAGTACAGCACCGCTAGGTAGATATAGTCTAGCTCATCTTCAGAGGCACCAAGCTCTGATACAGCTGAAAGTGTCCACTGAGTACATATCTCTTGTACAGCTAGTGTTCCCTCTAGGCACATTTAGGAGGGCGCTGCGCCCTGCCCTTTGATTTTTGCGCCCTGCCCTCTTTGTTTTGCGCCCTGCCCTTTTCACCTCAATCCAAGGGTTTTTTTCAGCTGTGCTTGATTTTACAACTACCCGTGTGTATTTTCCGGATTTTATATAGGACGGAGTTCTCTCCCTTTCTAGGGGAGATGCAAAATTGTTTTGATAATGATTAGGAAATTGGCATTTAAACCATGGCGAAGTCAAAGGTGTTTAATTCGCCTTACAAATCACAATGCCTACCAAGGAAAGAATCAAGAGGAAAAGAGGAGAAGCGGTGAAGGTTGAAGCAAGGAAGTGTCGCCGACTAATAGATTTCTATTATTTTTTCAATAATCCTCACCAAAATGCCCTTTTAGATTATGAAGTGCCCTTTTCTTTGAAGTTACCCTGCCCTTTCTGAATCCTAGGGGGAACACTAACAGCTGTTACCTCCCCTGTAGTACAGCACCGCTAGGTAGATATAGTCTAGTTCATCTTCAGAGGCACCAAGTTCTGATGTAGCTGTAAGTGTCTACTGTGTACATATCTCTTGTACAGCTCTTACCTCCCCTGTAGTACAGCACCGCTAGGTAGATATAGTCTAGTTCATCTTCAGAGGCACCAAGTTCTGATGTAGCTGTAAGTGTCTACTGTGTACATATCTCTTGTACAGCTCTTACCTCCCCTGTAGTACAGCACCGCTAGGTAGATATAGTCTAGTTCATCTTCAGAGGCACCAAGTTCTGATGTAGCTGTAAGTGTCTACTAAGTATAAGTGTCTACTAAGTATAATGTTCAGTGTTAGACAGCTCTTACCTTCATGTAGTGCAGTAGATAGTCCAGTTCCTCTTCAGAATTCCAAAACCCTGACCTAGCTGTAAGTGTCTCTTGAATGTAATGTACACCATTGTACAGCTCTTACCTCACCTGGTACAGTACTGCTAGCCAAATATAGCCTTGTTCCTCTTCAAGGGCATGAAGCTCTGGTGTTATTGTAAATGTCTAAAGAATATAATTTCAAACAGTTTACCCCTTAACTCCCTGTTCCCTGTTATAGTGAAATTGTTCTTCCATGTGTACCAAGTGCTGCTTTAGCATCTGTAGACGGTATAGTCTGCCCATGTGCTGTAGGTTAAGGTTCATTCCCTCCTCAAGGTCGATATGGACTTTATATGCTTGGAAAGGTGGAGGCTATGTAACTTTTGGCATCATCAAGGTTTCCGATATGGACTCATCCCCCTAATTTATGCTTTGAGGCACAGTGGAGAATGACAAAGTCCGATATTCCTGATTAAAAAAAAATATTTTTGTGGAGGCAATGTAACTTTTTTGATGAATATTCATGCTGGTAAAGCTATCGAACCACTTTTATTGTTTAAGCCCTTTCTCTTTCATACTTGACATTGAGAAATCAGGGCAAAAAACCTTAAAATTGGTGATTACATTAAAAATGTATATATTTCGATTATAGTCGATAATCGTTCACCACAAGTTCTCCGATAATCGATAGTGGATTTGGTTTCCGATTCCCAACACTACTGGTAATAATAATAATAATAATAATTAATTTGTATAGCGCCTATTTTCCAACTTTGAGCTGCTCAATGGCACTGAACAGGGTAGATATGGTAGGGGTGGATATGAAGAATAACAACCCACCAAAACAATGACCCTGATACACAGGGAGACACCTAAGTAGCTTAATTGTCTCAAATGCTGAAATCACCATAACAACCTGAGGAAGCTGCTAACATACAGTCATCCCTCACAATAACGCAGTTCTTGGGGATCATGGATGATCCCCTCCGTTATGAGACACCCACAATATACATAAAATGAAATAAAGGCCAGGTAATATCGTATTTTTTATATTGCATAGCATAACTGTATAATGTGCCCAGTCTAACTATGTTGTATTGTCAGAGCCAATGGAGGAGAACAAAGAAACCTTGTAAATACTTTTGTCTTTCCTTGATGGTCTCCAGAAGCAATATTTTAAGCAATACTTTGAGTCTAATATTCTCTCAGATCAAGTTATTCTTTCTACTCTGATTCCTTACCTTTCTCTCTATCCCTGTTTCCTTCACTCCAGCATCAGGGGGCGCTGGAGGGCACGTCGGGGGCGTCATGCCCTCTGCGCGGGCTACACAGGTCGCGGCTATTAAAGCCAACATTATACCTGCCCAAGGAATCTCCTATAAGGACGGTGGTAGGTCAGAGTGTGCTTGTCTGCATGCGTTTGTTCACTTGACCAGTGTTGGGGTTTATTTGGGTCACTTGACCAGTGTTGGGGTTTATTTGGGTCACTTGTCCAGTGTTGGGGTTATTTAGGTCACCTGACCAGTGTTGGGGTTAGTTTGTTTATTTGAAGATATTAGGGGTTGCTTTGTTTATTTGAAGACTTTTGGGGTTGTTTTGTTTGTTTGAAAACCTTTGGGTGTTGTTTTGTTTATTTGATGACAGGTGTCAACCGTAGGGGTGAGATTGTTTTTGTTTACCTGACCACCAAATCCCTTTAGTTGCCTCTTATGACAAGCATAGGTTGCTGATTTGAAGATGTTTGATCTTTTCATCGTTTTTTGTTTTTTAGTTTAAACTGAAAACATGAGGGGTTATTTTGTTTATTTGAAGACGTTATGGGTTAATTTGTACATATGAAAAGTGTTGTGATTTTGTTCTGCGGTTATTTTGTTCCTGTGAAATGGCTGAAGGTTTTTGATTACTATGACAAGTACGGGTTATTAAGTTTTTATAAGTTTGGGATTAAATTTTGTTGAAAAAGATACCCTCAGATAAGACTCTGAAAATTTGAAGAAGTGCAGGTTTGGGGCAAGATATCACACAGTATTTTAGAATGAGATTTTCACTCTAACAGTGTTTTTCCTCACATTGTGCAGTTGTGTGAATTAATATATAACAGTCAGTCTGAGAGTGTGGACTTTTCAAACATCAACACTGCCATAATTACTGCAGACTTGATTCAATCCAGATGCAAAGTGAATCAGATGGACATGAGTTATCTCCCCTCCACAGGGGGTGCTGCAACACCAACGGAGCAGTCTACAGCAACTGGGATACTGTCTGTCATTGTTCCGTATTCCATGAATTTTGTTTGAATTTGTTGAGATGTTTGCGTTTGTCAATAGTTTTTGTTTTGGATGTTGATTTTAGAACATTTTTGTTGAACCATATTTCTTGTTGATGCTTAACGTATTTTATGCAAGCTATAAGTGTTGAAGATCATGTGTAATTTAACATGGTCCAGTTTTTATTTCTGCACATTGAGGTGTAAATATCTTCATAATATATACGGTTGACAAAGTTTGAATATTTCTCAGATAACAGTCCTTCAAGCTGCTAGCATGATGTTCATACACCCAAGTGCATACCTTTTTCTAAATATTAAAGTAAATTCCTTTTGTGCTACTAAATACGTAAAGTATGGCTAAAGGGGTCGTTGTCGGCACATGTACTACAGATATGTACCCCAGGTACGTTTCTGTATACAGACATGTACCCTAAACAAAGACAAACTACAGTACCCGGTACCCTAAACCACGGACGAGTCCATATTCCGCAACCCAAAACCGAAACCGTATGTAGTTGTTCCCGTTCAGCTGATTGCGAGTGGGGTATGTTGTGCACCGTGACATATTCGTTACGGTGTATGCTCTTATATAACGATATCAAATGCATCTAATACAACAGTATGACCGTTCCGATGAAGAAAACTCCACAATGCAGAATGGAATCGTCCAAGGGTACGTTTCTGTATTCTGATTTTCTGTAGGGTACATTTCTGTATACATAAACGTACCTGGGGTACACATCTGTAGTACCCGTGCCGACAACGACCCCTTCAGCTAAAGTATGACTGGAAGACATTTTACAATGAGCCTGGTATTTATTGTGTTTTTGACAGCGACCTCGACCAGATCTTCAGGGCTTCTCCCAAATGAAGGTTGGCAGGTGTCCGGGACATATATCATATATATCCACCCCTTTATATACCCGTGCTGCTTGTATCATTAAACCCAGCAGATTGTATTAACAAGAGGGAATCTTTGTCTTGGGGATGTAGTCATCAGTTTTAATGTGTGAGGGGGATTATAATTGTATATTTATCATGTACTCTTTTTTTTAAAAGTTAATCATTTTGAAAGTTTGCTAATATTGATATTAATATCAATCATTTGAAAAATTTATTTATTTATTTATTTATTTATTTATTTATTTATTTATTTATTTATTTATTTATTTATTTATTTATTTATTTATTTATTTATTTATTTATTCAGTGAGTGTTTAGAATGGTGGGGTTGAAACATGTTTTAGATTGGCATTTATTTTGCTATGGGATGTACTGTAAAAGAACATAAGTCTGGTGTGTGAAGTGCATCATATCCGTGGTTTTACTAATAAATATATATTGTGACTCTACAACTGAAGTCCAGATGTGGGTTATGTACCAGTTCTTACCAGGAAAAGAGAATTACGATGAGATCTCCCCTGATCCATGCTTCCCCAAATAATCCCATCCTCGCCAGTCAAGGGTGTTTGTCTCCATTCTGTAAGCTGAACCCAATTTCTCCACTACAGCATCTTACTGGAAGTGACATCACCTCCTCCAGCTCTTGTATCATTAGAAATAGTGCAGAATTTCTTGCATTGAAGTCTTATAAATGTGAGTTTGGCAGAGGTTTACACTCAAAATTCCAGTCTGTAATGAGCAAATCTTTGATATCTGTATAATTGAATCATGAACTTGTTCTAATATTTCAGAATGTTAGAATAAAGGCATGGAAGCAACATCCCAATGTTAAAAGATGCTACCTGTGTTTAAGATCCTGTGCAACAAAGGGAGATAAGCACTGGTGGTCTGGTGGATGTTTCTATCATGAAACAGTAGGAGTTGATTGGATGGCTAAACAAGTCTTAGAATAAATATACGATGGGTTTTGGGTGTATGTGATTATCACTGATAATAATTGAGATGCAGCATCCTGGAGAATCAATGATGTCACTTCCTGTCCCATGGTGTCAAATCCCTGCCATGTCCTCCTTCAGGTTACTGTCAGACATTTTCTGGTCACAAGAACATAACTGGGAATGCTTCCTATGGTACCGCTTTTTTGAGTCCAATGCTGAATTTTCACCCACATTTACGAGCACTGTCAAAGTGCATATGATGGTCACATGACATGTCACGTGATCATCTGTATCCTCAGAGCCACCCATCCCAACACCGATCCCCTCCATATTCTCAATATATGGGAATTAATTAAAGTCTTTCATACAGAACCTGCAAAAGAAATATCTAAATGTGACTACCAAGTCCACATCAATTTTCTCAGTCTTGATCTCTTCAGTTTCGGAAAGTGAATAGATACTTTGTATTATATATTGAAAGATAGTTTTACAGACAAAAATCATAAACATGTTTATTGTTTATTGTCATGTTTGTGTTTTCTGATGCTGGGATGAGTGCAGGAAGACTAGCTGTCACTAACACGTTTGTGGTGTGTCATTGAAAGTTGTCTCACAAGTAGTATGTTGTTTGTTTGGTCAAAATTGCATGCTTGTCCATACTCCAGCCATATTACTTTGGTCTAAGACTGAACATTGCTGAGGGCGGAAAATATTAGGAGGTCTTCTGTGAAGCAAGACATGGTAGACATGTTTAGGAGCATTAAATGGTCGTAACATATTTGTCTTTAATATATTTAGACAACTAATTGTATTATACATATTTGTATTTGAAGAAAAAGAAGAAAACACAAGGATTTTTTAATGTTTGCTTGACATATTCTGTAGGGTAAGATTTGTCACAATGGTTGCAAAATATTTTTCTTCGATGTCTTATTTTCCAGTTTTAATGTCTTTAAGATTAGAGATTAGTTTTGTTTAAGGGGATCGTTTGAAGGTTCATTTTATGTTTGATGCAGTTGCTCGCCAAATGAAGACGATCAACTACCAGTTGTCGTCGCAGAGATGTCTGGAGGAGGGCTGGACATTGCGGCCGCCAAGCCCACTTAACAATGAGGATGAAGACATTGATGTCTTCATACCTGAACCGTTAAACCCGGCTATGATGGGCACAGGGAGGGTAGGTGGTGTCCTGACCTAGTTAAACCCGGCTATGATGTGCACAGGGAGCTTGGTGGTGTCCTGACCTAGTTAAACCCAGCCATGATGGGCACAGGGAGGGTAGGTGGTGTCCTGACCTAGTTAAACCCAGCCATGATGGGCACAGGGAGGGTAGGTGGTGTCCTGATCTAGTTAAACCCGGCTATGATGGGCACAGGGAGGGAAGGTGGTGTCCTGACCTAGTTAAACCCAGCCATGATGGGCACAGGGAGGGTAGGTGGTGTCCTGACCTAGTTAAACTCAGCCATGATGGGCACAGGGAGGGTAGGTGGTGTCCTGACCTAGTTAAACCCGGCCTTGATAGAGACAGGAAGGGTAGGTGGTGTCCTGATCTAGTTAAACACAGCCATGATGGGCACAGGGAGGGTAGGTGGTGTCCTGATCTAGTTTAACCCAGCCATGATGGGCACAGGGAGGGTAGGCTGATGGGCACAGGGAGGGAAGGTGGTGTCCTGACCTAGTTAAACACAGCCATGATGGGCACAGGAGGTAGGTGGTGTCCTGACCTAGGTAGGTGGTGGTGTCCTGATCTAGTTAAACCCAGCCATGATGGGCACAGGGAGGGTAGGTGGTGTCCTGATCTAGTTAAACACAGCCATGATGGGCACAGGGAGGGTAGGTGGTGTCCTGATCTAGTTAAACCCAGCCATGATGGGCACAGGGAGGGTAGGTGGAGCCCTGACCTAGTTAAACCCGGCTATGATGGACACAGGGAGGGTAGGTGGTGTCCTGATCTAGTTAAACCCAGCCATGATGGGCACAGGGAGGGTAGGTGGTGTGCTGATCTAGTTAAACCCAGCCATGATGGGCACAGGGAGGGTAGGTGGTGTCCTGACCTAGTTAAACCCGGCCATGATGGGCACAGGGAGGGTAGGTGGTGTCCTGATCTAGTTAAACCCAGCCATGATGGGCACAGGGAGCTTGGTAGTGTCCTGACCTAGTTAGACCCAGCCTTGATAGAGACAGGAAGGGGAGGTGGTGTCCTAGTTAAACCCGGCCATGATATGTACAAGGAGGGTGGCGGCATGGAGTGTAGGTGCAGGTGCAGATCCAAGATTTTGCAGAAGGGGAGTTCACATAAATCATAAAGTCCAAAGGATAGGGAGACATTTTTTCGGGGAAGGTAGGCGTGTGTGCATGTGTGCACGCTTGCACATGCCCCCATCTTTCTCCTGGATCCGCCTCTGTAGGTGATGTACTGACCGAGTTAAAACCAGGTGTTGGTTAAGCACAGGGTGGGAAGGTTGTGTACTGAATTAGTTTTAGTTTAAGCCATGATGGTCCAATATATTTATTGTCCCCAAATATTTGTGTACAGTATAGTCGACATGCAATCTGGATAAGATTTGTGTAATATTTACTGCTGTCATAATTTTTCTCAATTTTGAGACAGGAATGACAAATATAAAATATTACTGTAGTCCATGCCTATTAGTACAGTTCTTTAAAACAGATAATTTTTTGAGCAGCTGTTTTTTCAGCAGTGAAAGGGTACCAGGTAGGATCAGGTGTAGCTTCTAGCAATGGCACTGTGGGTTGTATTTACAACTGACTTATTGGATGGGTATTCACAATATAAGATATATTTATCATGATTATAATTAAAAATTAATGTGATTTTTGTTTCAGTTGCATGAACGACCATTGATACAAAAGTTTTATGAGGATGGGAAGAAATTCCTGACAGTATTCCCTGATGGATCTGGCAATGTGTTGTATCCTTCTGTACTACTACAGTGTAGCTACATCACCTAACACATAAGACCCGTGAAGTACATTTTGGTTTTGGTATATATGTCCCAGGGTAATGATTCCCTATCAACCTGTGAAGATCGGGGTTAGAATTGGTCTTCAGCAACCCATGCTGGTCCCCCCATGAAGATTCGGGTTAGAATTGGTCTTCAGCAATCTATGCTGGTCCCTTGTGAAAATCCGAGTTAGAATTGGTCTTCAGAACCCATGCTTCCCCAATCCATGCTTCAGCAACACATCTTGTCCCCCGTGAAGATCTGGGTTAGAATTGGTCTTCAGCAACCCATGCTGGTCCCCCGTGAAGATCTGGGTTAGAATTGGTCTTCAGCAACCCATGCTTGTCCCCCGTGAAGATCTGGGTTAGAATTGGTCTTCAGCAATCCTTGTCTCCCTATGCTTAGAATTGGTCTTCCAACCCATGCTCCGTGAAGATCCGCAACCCATTAGAATTGTTCTTCAGCAACCCATGCTTGTCTCCCCATGAAGATCCGGGTTAGAATTGGTCTTCAGCAACCCATGCTTGTCCCCCATGAAGATCCACGTTAGAATTGGTCTTCAGCAACCCATGCTTGTCCCCCATGAAGATCCACGTTAGAATTGGTCTTCAGCAACCCATGCTTGTCTTCCAACCCATGCTTGTCCCCCGTGAAGATCCACGTTAGAATTGGTCTTCAGCAACCCATGCTTGTCTCCCCATGAAGATCCACGTTAGAATTGGTCTTCAGCAACCCATGCTTGTCTTGAGAGGCGACTGCTGTGATCAGGTGTCAGGCTCGCTGACTTGGATGATGCATGTCATCATATCCCAATACATATATCGATGCCCTTGATATCAATCGTGGAATTTTGATATTTACAAACCTCCATATTTGCAGAGAGTGGTTACAAAATAAGCAGCACACAAGCTAACACATTAGTTTGAAACATGGCTTTGATTCCAAGACTCACCCTGTCTGTTTCATGGTTTGGCAACACGATACCCTCACTTCATCGATGTGATAGACCAGGGGCCTAAGTTTAAATAGTCCTGTGTGGATCTAAGTCATGACTTAAAATTAGGCTTATATTTCTGTAAAGCGAGATTAACAATTGTATTTTTTAGCAGCACATGTTTCTACAGGACACCTTGTCTGGCCAAAAATATATGTTTTGGGGAAAGGGGGTAACTTTCGGGAACCAGTTTATATTTCTGTGACCTTATGATATTTTATTACTTCAAGCTCATCAAACCAAAACTCGGGTTTGATTCCCCACCTGGGTACAATGTGTGAAGGCCATTTCTGGTGTCCCCTGCTGTGATATTGCTGGAATATTGCTAAAAACTCACTCACTCACTCACTTTTCCAGTTGTTCATGTTTGAATTTTATGACTGCACAATAAATAAAATCAAACTTAAACACGGAATGTATGAAGAAGACATATTATTATGACAATGATTTACAAGACTGTGTAATCACTGCAAATTTCCAGCTGACAAATGTCTGAAATACTGTCAAAATAACTGAACCCATAGTCCCTGTATGGAGTCTTCGTGACTTGGTTATCTCCTTGACCGATATCCAGCTACCCTAATGGTCAGATCGCCATCCTCATCAGCTATGTTAGCCTTGGTCAGTACATCTACGTAGTGCATGACGAAAATCCGAGCCGCACAGTCAAGGCCGTGTTTGAACCCAGTGGATATGGGTCCTGTTACCATAACAATGGAATAGTGAGGTAAGTGGAAGAAGGGTGAATGTTTTGATCTTAGGACTTGAGAACTGTTGAGGCTATCTCATAGGGATTTCTACAGTGTTAAGTCTCCAATGACAAGTCAGAGTTGTCTGGAGTTAGGAACTCTATCCCACACTGTCTTGGTACAATTACATGTAGTCAACATACCCATGATGATCCTGTTTAGAATTGGTCTTCAGCAACCCATGCTTGTTGTAAGAGGTGACTAAAGGGATCTGATGGTTAGGCTTTCTGACTTTGTTGACAAGTGTTATCATATCCCATTTGTGTAGATCGATGCTCATGATGTTGATCACATGATTGTCTGGTCCAGACTCGATTATTTACCGACTTTTGCTGTATAGCTAGAATATTGCTGTGTGTGGTGTTAAACAAAAAACAAGTCACCAAGCCTGAAGACCTGATCCAAAGGGTGGTAGGTCAAATGTATCAAATCAGCTTATATTCTCCATCAAATAGCAGTACCTGATCACCTGACTGATCTGTTCCTAGGTTATACTTTGACCAGCTGGGTGGTATCGAACTGGACGTTCATGGGGGCCGGAGAAGGAAGTGGACGTGGAAGGACCAAGAGACTCACGTCCATGCTCCGCCCTTCCAGCCAATTTGCTTCGGCCTGAACCGCTACATCGGCGTCCGCGTGATGAATCAGGACAGCATCGCTCTCACCCTCACAGCCAGGAAGAGGAGCTGCAGGTTTAATGTGGGCTCACGTCTCAAGGTAGGACTGATACAAAGTCCTCCATAGTATTGCAGCTCTTGAAATGACTTGTTCTCCACAGTATTGCAGCTCCAGAAATGAGTTGTTGCCTGTAGTGATACTCACACAAAGTCTTCCAGTATTGCAGCTCTAGAAATGAGTTGTTGCCTGTAGTAATACTGCCAAACATAGTTGCAGAGAAAGAGAGAAACAACATACACCCGTTAGCTCAGCTCCATCATAAAAGACTCTAATGACAATGTGGAAGACAGTTGTCGAGAGGGTGTGTAAGATTGCTGTTATGAAAGGGTTTTTTTTACCCTTTAGAGTTTTTGTCATCAAGTTATGTTTTACTGTTGTAGCTGGTGGCTCCAGAAAATATCCCACCCAAGGAGATTGATGAGGCAACCCTGTTCTTGGATGAGCGAAAGGCTTATGTCGAGTAAGTAGCAAACCCATACCATAAACAATTGGACTGACCTCTTTTCTGTCACACTTCACACTGACCCTTTGACTCAATGGCCCACATTTTACTTCACACATAATGACCTGTTGACTATGATGACCTTTTGGCAGCACTCGTGATGACCTTTTCACCTTGATAACCTTTTGACCTTGATAACCTTTCGACCTTGATGACCTTTTCACCTTGATAACCTTTTGACTTTTCATTGTAGATCAATACTTGACAAGGTGTCTAACCTGCTGAAGTTCCCCAAGTCACCCAAACTTGACAAGATCCTCCCACCAATCCACCTGACATCCAAACTACAACGCACAGAGAAACTACGGCAGGAGAAGTCTGCTACCAGGCTGGCCAGGAGCAAGTCTGCACAAGGGAAGGGGTCACTTCCTGTCGTTACTGTCAACTAACTGACTCCCCTTTCCTGTCATGTGCTTGTGCTTTAAGGGACCTTGTTTGTTAAGTACATATTACTCTTGTCACTGTGATAAACATTAAAAAGGTTTTTGGAGATTTTGTTTTTTAAATATTGTTGAAATAGTTGGGTTTTTTCCCTTTCTTAAAAATATTCATGTGTATGCAAAAGTACATGTATTTCTAATACTGCCTTTTATTGTGTTGAGGAATATGACATTTTAAAAAATTACCTGTATTTAACGGAAGGTTTATTCTAATATCCCTGAATCTGTCTCATATTTAACATTTATTCTTTTATACCTAATGAACATTTGATAATCTCAGTGGTCTCAACATATATAAATCTGCCATCCTGACAGTATTGTTCAGGCTGATATCATGGACCACTGTACCACTGGTACTTAGGACTGGGGTCCCCTGCAAGATTTATTCAGTTTCACTTATTTACTAAATATATTCTGGAACATTTACCCAGATGTTATACTTACTCTTTACTGAACGTTATGCTAATAACATATGACCTATAGTAACTCCATGGCATGTACTCCCCAGTGTCTTATTAACACCCTATAGTGCCTACATTGACCTGGGTTTGTGGGGATTCTTATTCTACCTCCCTAATTCCCTTGTCTTCTTATTCCCTTTGCTCAGAAATCCCTTTTTATTTTACTTAAATTCTGCTGCCAAAATTCACAGAAGTTTTGTACCTTTATCTTTCCTTTATCAAGTTTCTGTAAATATACCTGCAAATGATACTATTCCAGTGGTCAGTTCTCCTTGCCATGGCAGGTGACAGTGATCTGTTCATTAGAATGCAATAGCTTGTGTTGTACAGTGTAAATAACATTGCTTTGTATACAATGTAGAGAGTCTGGTTACTTGGATGACTGAATGTAGTGCTTGTAAAAACAGATGTACAGTTGCAGTATGTTGAATATTCTTACAGTAACATTTTCAAAGATTGATGAGGGTTAAAAAAATGAACATTGCTTGACGAAGTTGAAATCCATAATTAAATGTTTCATATTCTAATATGACTTCAGTAAATACTGGAGTGTGATTGGTTAATTTGTTAAGTGATTCAGAGGTATATAATCGTGTTATATACTTCCAATTTTCCAGCACTGTAAGTATTTTTTTTAAATCTTAGTAACGCAGTTATGGTAGAATGGAGATAAACATACTGTGTTGGAAATTCAGAGGTATATAACGAAATTTATAACAGCTCTAAATTTCGTATGTAAAACCTGATTCTCTGCGTTCCATTTTAAATCAAATTTATTATATACAGTCGAGCACCGTTGTCTCGATATTCATGGGACCAAGAAAAAATATCGAGTTATCCGAACTTCGAGACATCCGACCAGGGCATATCAGTATGTTTTGATTCAAAACTATAATCCGTTATCAGTAGTGTTTAATCGTAACAGTGAGTACTTCCTAATTAATTCCTTCTTAATTAATCCTAATTAGATAACAAACAAGCGACACCTTCAACTCACTTAGCCCTAATTAGTTTATATTACCGCATCCCTTTGATTCATGCCGCACCGTGTGTAAACGTTTAGAAACAACCTCAGTTCAGAGGGATACTTGCCCATGAAAGGTAGGTGAATATCGAGTTTCTTTGTAAATATCGAGTTAAAAGGGTAATTTTGCTTGTTGGGACCATGAAGTTATATCGAGACATCCGAAATATCGACATCTGTAAAGTTGAAAGAGCTTGAATAATGATAAATTATGAAGTATTTTGCCTGGACCGAGATGTTATATAGAGACAACCGAAATATCGAGTTATCAGAGTTCGACACAACGGTGCTCGACTGTATTATAAATTCGTTATATAGACATATCTGCAAGTCATTTAACACTGCACGATAAATTGGCACTTCACTCAAGATATTGGCTTGCATTTACATAAGCTACTTCATTGAGTAAGATTACATTTTGAAAATCCACCATTTTCCTAATTCATAATTTATCATATTTACAACATGGAATCTCACTAAATTAACAGTCTGAATCTACTGAAGCATTTATATATATTTCAAATAAATATAACTTAGTGTTTTCACTGAGCGATGATATTATGTTTTAATAACACTAGATAATTCCTTGGGCTGATGTTATCAGTATTATACAAGTATTGTGACTACTTGCATAGTATTCTACAGTATTATGGAGCATTCATGGATTTTTGAATTACACATGATCATGCGATTATCAAATTTACACGAGTCAGCATGATTAGTATGAACCATGCAGTGAATATCGAAAAGATTTTGAAAAAAACTGAACACATAATCAGCTGACCTGTATCATACTGTACCTTGTATTTTGTGAATATTTGGTGATCTATTGATGTTGGGGTGTGGTCAATACCGTATTTTTGTAAATAAACCAGCTGATATCTCTTCCCTGTATATTGTTTTCTATGTTTTGACATTCTGTTATTCGCACTCCAGCATTCACTGACACAGGCAAATTTGCATATCACGTGACCTGACTTTTTACTTGTTTGTAGACAAACACGATTCTGTGATCAGAACAAACTGGCCTAACACAATATTGTTTGCACAATCATGTAGAAATGTTACTAACACTACAACATTTAGGTACAGGACAATTCCTTGTTATATATCAAAATGAATATATCGCAAGCTCTCGAGTTTTGATGATGGCACAAAAATAACAACACAGATATAAATAGGTTTTGACATGTTAGGATATTTTCTGCGCGAAAGTTAACCATTCTGTCAGGACTTATTTATCTTTTTAAAAAAACCCTGAAAATTATAAATGTTTGTTTCAGCTTATCTTATATCACGTCTTGTACTATCTCTCTTAGGTTCCACAGATGTGTGGAAACGAACTGTAAAGTTTTTGGTCTTTCTTGCACCATTCCCTTGAACAAATCCCTGCTGCTCCCGTATCTGAACAGTAGCACAGGGGTGTGTCACGCTTAGAAACAGCGTTAGAAAGACATATAGGTACATAGACCCAACCCTAGTACTATATAAAAGGAAAGGGATGTAACGACGGAACCACCCCCTCCTCAATCAAAGTCAGATTTCACCACGTAAACTATTTTTAAGGCCCCGTCGAGGCCTACGGATCGAAAGCGAGATGATTTCCCCACAAAATGAGCTATAAATGGTCACAATCGGATCATTATTTCAAAAGTTATACGCCACGACTCACCGAAAACAGCTACCTCCGCAATTCCAAGCCAAAATCATGGATCACCCAAGACAGCGAAAACTCACCTTTTAAATTCGTTTATTAATTCCAGCCACGCTGACAGCACCTATGTAGGGCTAGATTCGACCGGCAGCGGTATTCCACGGGTCTAAAAACTTATTGCAACATCTACAAATCATTTCCTCGACAGTAAGCAGGTACTTTCTCCAAAACCATCGGCAATCATACTCACATGTCGGCCATAGATGGCCTTGACATTTAATTGACCTGAGCAGTAAATTGGTAAAAATAATTTTAGAGGTTAAATATTTATAAATAAAATTTCCTAAAAATGAATCAATATCGAATACATTTTTACAACCTCTAAAATTATTCTTAACAATTTACTGTTCCGTACATGATCCAAAATAGAAGGAATATTGCAAAGTTCATATTTCGCGCCAGTCAAAATCTTACAGTATATTACATTTTCCACCAATCGGATTGCCTAATTCAGTTTCTGCGGATCTGCTCAGTAACCAATCTTAGCGAAATAGTAGAACCGAACACGCCCTATCGTCACGTGACATTCATGCGACTGAAAAAAGTCGTCTGCTATTTTCGTCGACATGGGAAAATCTCAAGACTTGCCTTCGGCCGTTAAAACTATTATTGTAGAACGATATCAGGATGGCCAAAATTGTTCAGCTATTGCAAGACATTTCGGCTTGCCCAGAAGTACTGTTTATTCTTGTGTAAACCGTTTTCAATGAAGAGGCTCGATTGAGAATCGCCATCGAACAGGTCGTGCTGCCAAGGTGTCACGGAGAGGTAAGAGACAGTTGTTTCGGATCGTGAAAGACAATCGCATCGTGTCGGAACTTTGACTGTTGTTAACGGCAATATAAATGCCCAGAAATATATAGACATAATTGATTCTTACCTCTGGCCTGTTGTAGCACGTCATTTTCCTGGAAATAATTATATCTTCCAAGACGACAATGCCCCTGTGCATCGGGCCCGAATTGTACAGAACTATAGACAAAACAATGGCATAAATGGCATGGTATGGCCTGCACAATCACCGGATGCACATATAATTGAAAATTGTTGGTTGATGTTGAAAAACAAGTTGGCCGCACGCCGACAACATATATTCAGTCGGCAGCTGATCTCGAGAGAGAAATCAGGGATATCTGGCAAAACACGCCGGTTAACTACATACAGAACTTGAACAGATCAATTCCACGGAGAATATGAAAATTCTGAGGAACAAGGGTCATATGACCAAGGGAAAGGTAAGTCACCCTTTATTTCATGCTCTATCACCATTTGAATAAACCGCGCTGACAGGAGGCGTCGCACTCGGCCGCCATCAATGTACGTAATATTGTGGCCACCCGATGTACGTGAAATCATGATCGACACTCGCCGGTCATAAAAATCAACAGTCTTTGATGAGTTACAGGTCATAGGTCAATCAGAAAAGGATCTATTCTTCGATTCTGCAGGGTTCAGGTTCGACAGTCAGTCAAGTATTTTCCACTGTCACTTCGAATTTCAACCTTTCGCAAAATGTAAACACTGGCGCGTCCGCCATTTCAAACTATTGCGTAACTGTCTACTTCCAAAAAAATAAGTAGGTCAGACGATTCCATTATAGTGTTGCCAGGGGTACAGTAACACGGCGAACAAAACAATAGGCTGGTTTCGGTCTTGTGGAGTTATGATTATAAAAACCAAGCTCTTAGGTGTAACAAGAATTGCATTGAATAAAATACTAGTTTGTTTTCTTTGGACAGAATATTCTTTATGTTGCAATGTTGAAAAAACAAACGAACGGAACCTACCACTCCTTTATCAGACGAGTTCAATTCGACTCTCGTCCCATGCAGGATTACGCATTACGCATCGTCTTCCAAAGGACGAGAGAAGTCAATCGATGTTAAATTCATGTAATTTCGGTTTTATCCCCTAAGTAACTCAGTAAGGGGGCGTCTAGCGGGATCGGGTGGTCAGGCTCGCTGATTTGGTTGACGTCATCGGTTCCCAGGATCGATGCTCGTGCTGATCACAGGATTGTCTGGTCCAGACTCGATTATTTACAGACCGTCGCCATATAACAGGGATATTGCTGAGTGCGGCGTAAAACTTGACTCACTCACTCACTTACTGATTGATCATGTGATCCATTATTGTATACATTTCTCTTTCTTGTCACAGTAGGATGTGGGCTTGCTGTAAACTGTGGCAAATAAACATTTCTCTTTCTTGTCACAGTAGGATGTGGGCTTGCTGTAAACTGTGGCAAATAAACATTTCTCTTTCTTGTCACAGTAGGATGTGGGCTTGCTGTAAACTGTGGCAAATAAACATTTCTCTTTTGTCGTGGCACAGAAGGATGTGGGCTTGCTGTAAACTGTGGCAAATAAACATTTCTCTTTCTTGTCACAGTAGGATGTGGGCTTGCTGTAAACTGTGGCAAATAAACATTTCTCTTTCTTGTCACAGTAGGATGTGGGCTTGCTGTAAACTGTGGCAAATAAACATTTCTCTTTCTTGTCACAGTAGGATGTGGGCTTGCTGTAAACTGTGGCAAATAAACATTTCTCTTTCTTGTCACAGTAGGATGTGGGCTTGCTGTAAACTGTGGCAAATATACATTTCTCTTTCTTGTCACACTAGAATGTGGGCTTGCTGTAAACTGTGGCAAATAAACATTTCTCTTTCTTGTCACAGTAGGACGTGGGCTTGCTGTAAACTGTGGCAAATAAACATTTCTCTTACTTGTCACACTAGGATGTGGGCTTGCTGTAAACTGTGGCAAATAAACTGACTTTATAACTTTAGCACCCCCCTCTTGGGGAAAGAAGATTCATCTTCAAGAAAAAGGAAAGTTTGCCTACAGTGTTAGAAATCCTCTATAACGGATCCTAATGCATCATGCATAGATTGCTTTTGGCTTTGCGAGTGGAAGTCCAGTGTAATTTATGCGAGTAGCCGGATGACCACAAGTTTGCTAACTATACAGGAAGGTGGGATCCTGCCGCCTCGCAGACCGGGACTCCAGGCACAAGTCAGGTGATTCTGGCCTTACATCAGCGAAGGGGTCTAATAAGGATGCACCTTCCGATTCCTTTTGGGCGAGAATTTGAGACGATTATCCCCTCCACCGGACGCCACTCATTCACCGTCGCCAGACCATCGCTCT